ACTAGTTAGCTGGTTAATTCTATGGTGTCTTCCCACTCTGCCTACAGAAGGTTAAAAAAATGACAAGTGTTGGTTGGTAGGACATCTTTATTCATTCTGAGAATTCTCAGACTTTACATGGAGACATGGATTTATCATAAAAAACTGAAAAGTCTTTCAGTGGCTTTACAGTCTTTTCACACACACAACTGACAATCACTTTGCAAACTTGATGAGATGTCCAGCAGCATCAAGGTACTGAAGAGGCGTTTTTTTTGCCGCTCTGGAGGTGCTCCTTCAGTCTCAGAAGTCTCGCATCGAGCTCTTTGTAAACACGCTTGCGTGACTTGGGGAGGGCACCACAGTCGAGCTGAGCGCGTTTAGCTTTGTCGACTGCTTCGATTGGCAATAAGGTTTTTCGGCTTCAGGTGCCACCCCTCAAGGTGGTTGTTAGTCCGCGGGCCAATATTTCCATACTGCGTCCAGATCCGTACCGGAAAACGTGCCTCATAGTCCACCCGTGTACTCGTGACGTAGTCGTGGGAAGTTCCTGACCTTCTCTGTCTCCGGGCCTTCGTCCATGGCAGCGATCCAAGTGTCCTGCACCATGTCCCGTGGAAGTAGTGGAAGGGCAGCTGCTCTCCTGACATGGGTCTGCACCTGTGGGATGTCCTTGTAGTCGTTTGTCAGTCCTTTCGCAGCCACATTTCGCCACACAGCCTGAGTGAAGTGGAAGAAGCACCCACGCACTTCTCAATCCTCCTCCAATTCCTCCACTGCCCTGATGGCTGACACCTCAAAGTCTATCTGGATTTCACTTGGCGCAAGTTCACCTCCTACTTTGTCCCTAACAACATCACTTGTCGGCACTGTGGAGCATGTTTAGCATGTCCTCTGAAGCAAAAGCCAGTATCGTGTCGTCGTCACCATCATCGATGCACAAGAATTGCTGTCCATCTTTTGTCTGAGTCCACGGTCCTTCGAGTTGAACATCAGCTAGAGACTTGGGTAGGTTTGGTAGAACTTTGCTTCTGTGCCGGTAGAGGGAGGACTTTACACTCGAGAACGATCGTACAGACGCTGGGTCAGCAACCTCGGACAACTCTTCATCGTACATCTGCCGAATGGATGTGACGTCCTCTTGTACACGCTGAGCTAAGGAGTCGAATCTCATCTTCAGATTCCACTGGGACATGGTTGGGCGGTGTTGTTGATTTCATGCAGTCTCCAGTTGTAGAACAGCGGCCTTTGCATTCAGAATGTACACACTTCCAATGTATTGTGGTCTGTCGTCTGACGTTGAGGCGATACCGGTACCCAGCAAAGGAAACTTGCTGTTCTCCTGCTTGAGAAGTGATGAATTGAACGCGTTGAACATTTGCCATTGTGTGATGGATACAGTTGGTTTCTTCTTCTAATTTATTAGGAGTTTAATTAACTGAGAAGATGAGATCTTCTCAACAATTAAGTCCTTACCATGTTTTTCGACATAATCTGACAAAGACAGACAAAGCCTACCCAACTTGATCAAATAGGATTAAGTTAATCCTGCTTTGGAGATTACAATATAAGCATGCTAACTGCTTCCCCAAACCAAATAAAACAATATCATTGTACTTGTCTTGTAGTCTTTATTGGATGAGAAGACTCAAAACATACTATACACAGAAGTAGATGCACAGATATATACTAATATAATCCCCCTAATTATCCCTTACTCCAAACGAAGCACCCCTTCTTCATTGATACTCGGGCTGTTCCATTATTCTACAGGGCAAAAAATATTTTCCCACGCTGCCTACAATGTTTTTGTTGGCAGTTTGGGATGTAGGCAGTTTGGAACTGTAGGCATTATGGGACCCAACCAAATGACGCCTTATGTGAGGACACGACCTACTGCTTGTTCATGTACAGGGTGTTATGTAGTTGGGGCTTGGATGCGCGAGGTGCTGTGTTTACTTGTGGTGACAACATCATGACCATTGTGAATATACCCTTAAGTACGTTTACATATATTGATGCAAAGACGTGTGTCGCGGATCGCAGATTGTCTGTGTGACGTCATTATTATTGTGTGTCTTTCCTTTTATGGGCATATACATAGATACATACACAAAAATATTATATATGTGGGCCTTAATAAATAGTTTGTTTGAACATATATAAAGTGCATATTATGATCAATACATGGACAGTTGTTGTTATCGGTTCGGCTGGACTCAACGGACAAATGTATGATAATCATCGAGGTAAGTATTTAGCAACACATATGTGAAAATGTTATCTGTGAACGTACTAAAAATGTGCTAGGATCATATTGTCCAGAAAACAGCTTTAGACCAAGTGATGTGCAGAGCCCACTCATGACAACATGTAAGCATAAATTATAGTAACATTACAACTGCAAAACATACATTTGAAGCTGTACGTGTTACTGATAGCAATTAACCAATCACACATTACACTGCTGAAAATGATTGTGTGATACATTATCGAATCCTACTGTTTTATCATGTGACTGTAACCTATTAAAAGACGGAATGTTTTTTTTACAGTGTATCAATGCAACCGTCAACAATATCAATAAATAAAAAAATCAATATGAATACTGGACTACATGATAGACTATCGACTCACCAACACCATGAGTGTGCTTTTAACCTATTGTTCGAGTCCTCAGGCTATGGCAAATGCCCTCTGTCACATCGCCCAAAATATCACCTTATGTTTCCAAACACATGTCCACATTAATACCTTGTTTATGCCCGGGAGGATGTGTTATTGTAAAATATAAATAATCATTCTTTAATATACACTAAATACACTCAAGGAAAGCAGCATCCACAATGTTTTGGGGATGTTTGCTGGTTTGTTTTTTCTTATTATTAGTGAGTGAGTGAGTGAGTTATTATTTAACGTCACATCGGCAATATTTCAGCCATATCGTGACGAGAACACATGTGACACCGAAATGGAATAGATGTATACTATAAAAACCTGTCGACGAAGGACAGTAAAACAACTAGAATATCACAATTACAACTAAAACTAGTGTGGAAAATTAAAACTAATAGCACTATTTGGACAATACAATATAAAACCTGGCTATAGATCGCAAAAAACCTAAGGTAGATCACCAAACTAGGGACCATGGGGACTTACAATACTTTTAATCTTATTATTAAGTAACAGTTAATGTCCAATCATATTCCCACTCTGAGTATATTAAAGTCCTAGTAGGCTTGAGGGTCCATAGGTTATGCGTCACTGCTCACTGGTTCAAACTAATTAGATATATCGATATGAATCCCGTGTCAGTGCATCAGACAATTGTCGGAATAATTTAGAGCTATTTATAAACTAATTTGGCTCGTTGATGTCACATGTGAACCTAATTTCCGACATCCTGGCAATCATATATATTGTCAATAGGATAGTAGGCTTTTGTGATCTTTTCGTTTTGTTTTGATTTCACGTGTATAACACTTCTCTTTCTCTCTCTTAAATAAACCCCGAGGGAACACGTCACTTAATGACCGGGGATGATACTTGGATGTGGTGAGTGAGTGGGTTTTACGCCGATTGTACCAATATCGATAAACAGGGGAGAACAACGTATTATTGTATTGTATAGATCCGGACAGCAGCAAACATTAACGATTTCCAACATCAACAACATGTTGGTATGCATCGCCACACTGATGGCACACCATGTGCAGTAGTTTGTGTGTTGATGTGACCAGCTGTCAGGCGTGTCGACCAAACATCCAATAACCAAACTGATCAAGCGGAAACATGGCAGTTGTTTTTAATTTCCTTTGCATGATACCAATGATATATACGACACTACATGACAGATACCTGATAGTTAATGAAAAGTCCCGTCCCAATACATGCATGAATATTTGAAACGCTTGAACAAATAAAGTAACTGAAATGATAACTATTCAAGTTTTAAATTTATATTGATTTTTATTTTACATGGTGCCATGCGCTCTCGTACATATTCTATTCATGAATGCGTGTACGTTGATTCAATAGAGACCGTGTTAGGCGTCAAACGTGTTTCTAAATGTCATACAATTGACGTTAGAGCAATATATCAGCATTAGGGCAGACTATCACCTCGCACCATCACAACTAATGTCACGAATAGGAATTGATATTAGATGCTATCATATTTAAGGCAACGACAAGACACGATATGACAAATGATCTATGCTAATTAATCTTGAGATCGATTGAAAGTCTTGATAGGATCTCGGCACACTTCATGCGCTGCCACATCAGACTACCTCCCCCTCAAAATCTGCTTCCCACACCGGACCAGACAATCTTGTCCATCCTACGTAATCCCCCAACTCATCCATACTATTACACAACCCACAATTCTTTACGTGAATAATACTTTTCATTTCAGTCACGATCGTTGTGTCTCATGCACCCAGCTTCAAATATAGATCTATTTCAAGACAAAATACAAGTAAAGAAAGATATGCCTTTCTGTTTTTAATTTTACCTACAGGATAAAGAAAGATATGCCTTTCTGTTTTTAATTTTACCGACAGTATAAATACTCCGAAAGTGTAGATCCATAAAATATGGTAGCATTCCGTTCGTATCTACAATTTGGATCCCCATTTATACCATCCATGAAGTATTCTGACGAAAGCACACAGTGGAACTTTGTAATCTGTCTGATAAACGTCAGATGCGTGTCTAAAAATTTGAAAACGTTAGGTGTTCTGTCTGTACTGCCATCTGAAACTGACCTTCATCATTGCTTCGTCAGTGGAGACATGAAACATGGCTACCTCAAGTATTAGAATGCAACAAAGGGTTTTGCACAAACATTGGGGAAACATCAACAGGTTGCGAGAACCTCTAAGATTAATGTACTTAAGCTATAAGACAAAATGTACAAGAAATAGAAACTTTACAACTAAAAGTATATTTCCGAAACAGCTAAATTCCAAGTATACAGAGACTTGTGAGAATGTTGTATCTAAAGCGCTACTTACCGCCGCAAGTCTTGGAAACAGGTATCTTTCGGTATCCTGCTCGTAATAAAAACATCCTGAAGGATGAAAGAGAGTACTCCTGACTTTTGGGTAATAACCGGATTTAACCTTTAACCCCTGTATGAGCACAACGTGGCCTGGTGACCAAGTACGGAGTAGTTACACGAGATGGTACATCCAGCCTCCTAGTGTGGCTGTGGCGGTGGCGGCTCTAGTGTATCGCTGCAGAGCTGGATGCAGGCACCTAGATCACTCCAGTAGAAGACGGTGATGTTAGCCTTCCGTTGGTCAATACACTATCTCCATAGCGATCTCTCGATTGCGTCTTCCAATACGCTGGCTCCAAATGTTATATAGACATTCCTTTAAAAACAATTGATTAATAATAACTTGGATTAACATATGTGTATATTGTTCGTAACTTTTTGTTCCATACATTGTTTGTAATGATTCAGCAGGCAACACGCAATACGGTTGAATTCACAATCCCAAAATAATCAACCATATTTTAGGAATGGCAATCCTTTCTGTGGAATCATTTCAAGAGGTATAAATATTTTATCTGGTATGAATAAGCCTAGCCCAACAGGCATGCAATGTTTGATACCATGCCACGGAGTGTGTAGCTGCCAGCGGCGGTGGCAGTGATGAGATTGAAGCTGTCCGTGGTTGGAGGAGCCGACAGCGCAATAGGAGGAGGACAACCGGGGAGCGGGCGATTATCTGTCAGGTGACGCCGGGTCTGCAACACCTATATTGGTTATTGATTACTCTCTGCATAGGTGTTGGCGGTCGAATTTAAAGGAATCGTCATTAACGTAACCGCCTACAGTGGCTTTTAGTGAAAATTAATCTGCCATGTGACGACAGTTACACATTCCCACGCTGGTAAAAGACTCCGACAGTCCACTCTGAACTTGTATCGTATTTGTGTAAAATGCAATGCATTCAAATTGTGATCGGGAGCTGGTTACATAATATTCTCCATATCATTTGGAATGTGAGGAATGTGATGTTAGATTCCTTTTCAAGGCAACTGAAATATTACCATAAAAGACGAAATCATTTCTATCAGCATTTTCTTGATCTGTATCATGTGCCCATCAATATGTTTCAAGAAGTAGTAACACCGAGGGTGCTCGCGGAAATGTGAGCGAATACTGCCCAACCCGTGACACCGTCCAAACTACAGGAAAGCCAGTCAAATGTTCGAATGAGAAACAATGTATCGTATGTACAAGTCGACGAAAGGAATTGCATCGGACATATCTATTGATGCATTAACTCGGTGGCGGTGAGTTGGGGAGTGTGTGACTAACCAAGAATCATAATTGAGATGACATTCCGATTCGGACTCACGCTCAGACGATCACTGTGTCGTGGCAGGCCTGTTCTTAGAAGCCATGAACTCTGCTGATCGAGTGGCAGCGTCTCATTCGATATTGCCACCCTCCACTCTGACAATCCAAATAGCATGTGCAACATTCATGGTGATAACTTATACCTTCATGCTCGACGAAAAGACAGCAATTGGAAATGATAAATTTTCGCATGGTCCTAATCAATTAATAACGCATATGTGGAGCGTCGCGAGGTATGGAGTGCAAGTGTTTTTTCAGACTACTTTAATTATCAGGCAGATGCATCTATGGGTAAGAGACGCCCATGGTCTTCTGAGCATTCACACCCATGCTTTATCATCCAATCATCCGATTTCGTCCTGGACACCACTGAGTTATAAAGCCCCTGCGAACCGGTATCTCATCAGCGCCGTGAGATGAAATTGCAAAGTGGATCTCATAGTCATTAAACTAATCCGACTCTGGAGGTTCATGTCAAACAGTTCCTACCGACTCCGGTATGGATACAGGTGGTTTACGATATACGTGAAGTCATATCTACGACTCGGGTAATAGTACCATCAATGAACCGGTCTAATCCGTGGAGTCACGACGTGTTTGTTCTCGCCCAACACAGAGGAAGTGCAACGAAACAAGTTAGAGTGGCGTTTCGGTGTATTTGACATGCAGGAGGGGCATTTGGACATAGATTAAACCTAACCCTCTCAAACATTTATAAAAATGTTTCTGAAATATTCATATTCGGAGCAAGAAACCGAACCGATGCACCGCATCTAATTATATCAATAATACTTGTGGGAACATTTTGTGAATGCACAAAATATAGTAGTGATAAAGGGGGCTATACTTAAGTAATGTTAATACTTAAACTTAATGTCCATAACAGAAGCAAGACACGCTGTATGAAAGGTTACATAACCAATTTCCGATACGCTATGCATAACTAACGTACTATTAGTTGAACACAATCAACTTAAAATAAATGGAAGTTGGTCATAGCCAAAATAGGATTAGTTGAACATAACCAAATTACAAAATATTGTTAAAAACCATTCTACGCTATATTCCACATAAATAAATTATGATACGTTGTATATAACCAAAGGACGGTTTTGTTGAACAAAACCAGAGTTTTATGAGATGGCCATAATCAAAGTCACTATCTTTCGGGGATATTGTTATTGCCATATAGCAACAAATAAATGTTTAATGTCACCTTGAAATAGTTATTTATCCCCATCATCAGACACACATTTGCTTTCATCGGAGTGACTGTTCCCATTGTACCTTATGTTTGTAGAAGAAGAAGTGACAATATCCGAACTGTAAAAATGAAACTATCACCGACACAGCAATATTCGTGATCGCTGCACTGATAAAATAGGTGAGCTTCAGAACCTTGAAGTGTTACGTACCGCGGTTCATAGTGTGGTAGAGCTGCCCATATACATGCATGTCATGGCTCATAGAAGCACTTTGATACACAATACTGTTTTTGTATGCTTCAACGGGTCTTTCATTGTGAACAACATGTCAAGCAAAATCAATAACGCGAAGCATATTTTTTCCATCTAAATACTGAAACACAGTGGGTGTATCTGTAAGTTTAACAACTCCTATGCTTCACGGAAACACAATGGATACATGTGTATGTTTACAACAACAATGCTTCACCGCCTTGCTTTCTTCATATCAGACTACCACATCATTGTGATTTATGATTAAGCAACACGAATTGTTGTCAATGAAAACACCCTGGAAATAAAAGCGTAATGACATGTAATGGATTGGTGTTTGTCTCTTAATAGCAGTCTTCCAGGTGTCTGAACAGAAACTGTTAGTGATAAAACAGTTCTCGCCAAAGTTTTATTGTTCTGAGCATAATCGCAGTTGAGCGCTTTGCTTCGTCAGGTCCCAGGAGAGCGTGATTGTGATCAGGGTCGACAATCACGACACAACAACAGTGGTTATCCAGGCACAAATCTGAGAAAGCCATTTGTCCATGGTGAATCAAGAGGAGATGTGAGACTGCCGTCCGTGTCGTATTGTTCAGGACAGAGTGTTGTGGACCGTTAGGGTATGTGTGAGTGCCACCGTTCATCTAGTTTGGTCTACAGTTTAAGCACTGTGGGGCCTCAGGGAAGCGCATTCTGAAGAGGATAAAAACATTCCGTAATACATTTCAGCAGAGATTTACTCTGAATAATTGCAGAGGCAATTGCTTTTGACAACCTTCTTGCTTGTATGGCCTTTCTCCACTTCGATTTGGGCATGTGTAATCAGGAACGTGATGTGTACATTTGGGGTAAGGTTAAAGATTAATGTAATTAAAATGATCACTAAACGTCCGGAAGACATAGGCATGCCCATACAAGATGCACATTTAGATGCAACTTGAACCAATTACAACCGTGAGTTTCTGCTATCTTCTCACGAACACCTGGTGTCATCACCAATTTCCAGTAACACAACTTTGTACACCACGCCCCCACACAACTTTGTACACCACGCCCCCCCCACAACTTTGTACACCACGCGCCCCCACAACTTTGTACACTTCGCCACTCACACAACTGTGTACACCACGCCCCCACACAACTTTGTACACTTCGCCACACACACAACTGTGTACACCACGCCCCCACACAACTTTGTACACCACGCCCCTCACACAACTGTGTACACCACGCCCCCACAAACTTTGTACACCACGCCCTCACACAACTGTGTACACCACGCCCCCACACAACTTTGTACACCACGGCCCTCACACAACTGTGTACACCACGCCCCCACACAAATTTGTACACCACGCCCCTCACACAACTTTGTACACTTCGCCCCTCACACAACTTTGTACACCACGCCCCCACACAACTTTGTACACCACGTCCCCACACAACTTTGTAGACCACGCCCCCACACAATGTTGTACACTTCGCCCCTCACACATCTTTGTACACCACGGCCCAACACAACTTTGTACACCACGCCCCACACAACTTTGTACACCACGTCCCCCCAACTTTGTACACCACGGCCCCCACAACTTTGTACACCACGCCCTCACACAACTGTGTACACCACGCACCCACACACTTTGTACACCACGCCCCTCACACAACTGTGTACACCACGCCCCACAACTTTGTACACCACGCCCCTCACACAACTGTGTACACCACGCACCCACACAACTTTGTACACCACGGCCCCAACTTTGTACACTTCGCCCCTCACACAACTGTGTACACCACGCCCCCACACAACTTTGTACACCACGCCCCCACATAATTTTGTACACCACGCCCCCTCACACAACTTTGTACACCACGCCCCCACAACTTTGTACACCACGCCCCACACACAACTTGTACACCACGCCCCACACACAACTGTGTACACCACGCCCCCACTTTGTACACCACGCCCCCAACTTTGTACACCACGCCCCCCAAAAACAACAAAACAACAACAACAAAACAAACAAAACAAAACAAAACAAATTTTGTACACCACGCCAAAACTCGTTATTCTTTTGCAAAGACGTTTTATATATTGTACAATCTATAAACATGGCGCACTGACTGCAAAGAGACGTGATGTGTTTTGACAACAGGCACTAACACAAACTGTTTGTCATGCACTCAGGTAACAACGAGTGTTACACATAGACAACCGCAAAGCCGGGGATAAAGCGGTATGTTAAGAGACATTTACGCAGTTGCATCAGATCCATTAACGCGAGCAAACTTTAGATAAAAGATGTTTTATTCTGCACTTGAATGTGTCATGTAATTTATCTCCTTTACATATACACATACATGTTGTGACAGATGGGAAAGACTTACATAGCGCCTTAGCTTTTACTTATGTTTCAAGCACTCGCATAACCTGTGGCACTGATTAGCAGCGGGTGAGTGAGTGAGTGAGAGAGTTATAGCCCCGCTTTCGCACAGTATTCCTGCTACATCGCGGCCCGTCAGTTTGGTATAGGGGAAATAGCACGGGTGTGGTCCTGACAAAACTAGACGCATAATCCTTTTGAACCATTTTACAGTACTTTATATATGGACGAAAGAAAATGTTGGCGCTATTTGAGTGCAATAATTTCATCTTGGGGCGATAATTCCATTTGGCTTCACCTTACTGGGATTAACTATCCCATCTTAAACTAAATTAAAAATGCCATGAATACCTTCAAGCTTAGTAAATTAATGTAAGTATTAGCTATTAGTTACCGTAAGAAGAAAAG